ACTACTATCGATCGGATAAAACCCCCCACCACCACCTACCGCTCGTTGAATTTTCTCCATTTCTGCTTCTTTTTTTTTTTCATTCGTTCCCTCTTTTCCCTACGATCGTAGGATATCTATTTCTTCTGTACCGTTAAAACGTCATACTCCGTGAAAGCAAATATAATAACTTTGGCGAACCATCGAAAGCTTCATACAGCTTCTCACTCCAAGTCAGTTCAAACTTATTCCGATGTGATACTGCATACTCCTCTAGAGTATTTATCTCAAGTATTAATATACTATACTTATATATATATATATATATATTTATATATTTATTAACTATATATTAAAAATATCATTTTGATCGGATTTGTTGTTACGTTTTTGAATCATCATTTTCAACGATTCAGAAACAGTACAATTGGTTTTGACCAACCCCAATAAAATTATGAGAAAAGAGAATGATAAACAAGTAATGAGGAAAGAAAATAAATGTTTAAAAATCTTCGAAGAAACTTAAAGGTAAGATTTCTTAGTGGCCCTAACTTGAAAGTAGAATGACTTTTCCAACCAAAAAAAAAAAGAAGAAAACTAGTAGTAGAGCAGTTGCTAAGAAGAAGAAGAAGAGGAAGAAGTAGATAGAGCAAATCTCTCAACTCGAAGAAGTAGTTACTTTTTAAAGAGTAAAAGCCAAAAGATTCGAGTTCTGTAACAGGCACCTCCTTGATTTTACGAAAATCAGTGTGAGGGACAGAGATAGGAAAAGAGAGTTAACTAAACGTAGTAGCAAGTTTTACGATAGTAGTAGAAAAGGAAGATACCATGGTAAGAGTAAGGGATAACGTTGGTTGCTTTGGGTTGTGGATTGAAGAAAGAGAGAGGGTGAAGGGAAGCTAAGGGTGACCCTCCCTTAAATTGGAACCGATTCACCGAGGTCAGCTATGACCAAGACTTTTCTATTTATCGTACAACTTCTTCACGCTCGTTCTTCTTCTTGGTCTACTATCTTTTTCTATCCTTTTAACTCTCCTACTATTTCCCTCTTTCTCTTTAACATCCAAGCTACGAGAAAGTCAACCAGTTTAACGGAGCATGCCGGGAAAAAGCTTAATCGTAAATACCCTAGCGAGCCAAAGGAGCCGGATATAATTTCAAACGTGAATCCTAGCATCCGTGCACTGTCACGTCTTTCGAAATTCCCCTTCCTTCTCTTTTTATTTTTTTTTTTTTTTATTATACTCTTACGAAAGATGGAATTCTTTCCTTCATAAGATGTCGTATATTAAACTTACTTTAGTTTTTTTTTTTTTTTATCTTATATCTATCTGTTATTCGATATTACTAGATACTCTCTTAACAAATTTATTTTATATTACAATATATTTGATATTGTTTAATATATAACTTATTTTTGTTACTTCCAAATAAAATTATAAACAAATATATAACCAATGATGATTCGAAATAATTTTTACTTTCGCGATAAAACCTGACAGATAAAAGATATTTCTAATTTTTTAACACACTGTATTGCATTATGTTATACTTTAAATATAAATACAAAACCATCCAAAATTTACAAAAACATTTATTTAATTAATTATATAATATATTGACAATTATTCTACATTTAAAAAAAAAAAAAAAAAAAATTTTTTCATTTTTCAGATTTTATACAGCATTAATTGTTTTCGACAAATTTCATGTTTCATTGATAAACATCGTCAAATAAATTTGTCAATATAAAAAGAAAGGAAAGAGAAGGTAAAAAAGAATTGGGAGATTATTGACGAAAGCGAGAGCTTTGAACGCAAACGTTAACTACCCCTTTTGTTCGTTGGGGTGGTACCGACCTGCACGCTTTTCTGGGGGTAGAATCCGGGTAATGAAAGTGGTGGGGCGTGTGCAATTTGCACGCCGCGAGATTAAGTCGAAGTTTTTCCCCTTTTACGGTCGCTCTTTATGTCCCTTTTATACCGTTTTAACGTTGCTCCGACCATTCTCTTTCTCACTCTCACTATCACTATCATTCCCATTCTATCTCTCTCTCTCTCTTTCTCACACATGAGTAACTAACTCATTCATTCTAACACGAATACACATACCATTTCTCTCACTTGTATATCCCTATCGTTCCTTTCAACTATGACTTTAGGATATACTATCAGCTGTAAACACGCGAAAACGAATACTAAATTTAATGTCTATTGTATAAAAGATATATCTTTATATATGAACAATGAAAAATATTAAACAATAAATTTTCGAATTGTTTAAGTTCCCGAATACTTATTGTCACATTAAATTATTATATGTATTTAAACTTTGTTATATTATATTATTATTATTTTTGAAGTATTATCAGCATAATTTAACTTATTATATTAAATTCATTTTTCTTTAAATAAATATGTATATAAATAAATTTAATTTTAATTATATTAAAATTATATTTTAATATTTAATTATATATAATAAATATAAAAATATAATTTAATTACATACAATAAATATAAATATAATATAATTATATATAAAAAATATAAATACAATTTAATATATTAATAATAATAATAATATATATATAATTTATTGTAATATATTTAATATTTAATTTTATAAAATTATTTTATTAAAATAATTAATAAATTTAAATTAGTTATGCATTATTACTAGATAAAATAACTTAAATTATTTTGTTATATTTTTTTGGTATTTCTTTCAATTTTATTTTATTTTTTTTTTTTAAATAAACTCTCTTACTATATCAACTATATCAAACATTTGTACTTTTCAAAACTAAAAGTAGATACATGGGCACTCATTAGTTCGTGTCCGTTTAAAAGGGTTTTTCAAAAGTACGAGTATAGGATTATAATCGTGCTACTTACATAACTATACTTTTACTTGAACTTTTTCTTCACTCGATGTTACTTACTATCACTACTAACAAACTTCGTATCTTTTTGTTTTTTTTCTTTTTACAGACACTCACTCACCTTCTCATCTTTTCATAGCAATCCCTTCGTCTCTTATATATATATATATATATATTTCTGTATTTTCTATTTTCTTTCTTTTTCCAAACATCGAAGAACTTCTTTCACGTTATTAATCCTTCATCTATCCAATCGAAACAAACTATACCAACGTTCAATCGAAAAACACTTAATATTTCTAGAAGATCTAACTTTTGCACTTTTTATTTCAATTCTTTCTGTCTTTTTTATATTTTTTGTTTTTTTTTAATTTTTAAAACTATCATATATAAGAAAAATGCAAGTAGATTTTTAATGAATTTAATTTATGATGACGATAATTTTATGAAAAATAAATATTCATAAACATAAATATCTTTTTAAAATCATATACACACACTAAAAAAAAAAAAAACAAACACGTGTGTGTGTGTGTGTTTGTTAAAACACTTCCACAAGCATGAGACCAGAAGAACATAGAGAATTTTATTTTACATAATATTAGCATGGAAAATATATTTCAATGTAAAATAAAATAAAAAAAAAAATTGAAAAAAATCGTAGTCGGTGTGCGCAACAAATATCCAAGAATGCTCGTAATAATTTTCACCGTCAAAGTTTTCACTCGAACAAAAGTTTTTCACCCCCGAAAAAGTTTCAATTCGTTTGCACACTCTCTCTCTCTCTCTCTCTCTCTCTCTCTCTCTCTCTCACTCTCTTGGCAAGAAAAGAAAGAAAAAAAAAAGGAATTTTCTAACAGGTTTGTAAGAGGACTTGAAATTTCAAGTCGCTTTTATTTCTACGAGCGTTTACTTCAAAGATATTCGAATTCCTTCCGATTTCCCTTACTACTGTAAAGAGAGAGAGAGAGAGAGAGACAGAGAGAGAGACAGAGAGGAAAAGAGAAAACTTTGGCTTTTCACGAACTTCATGAAAATCTTTTTCGAGAATTTGTGCAATTTCAAAGAGATAGAAGAATTCAAACCCAGTACTATTCCAATTTTCACTTATTAGACGAAAGATAATAATAATAAGTTAATCTATTCCCTTTTTTATCCTACTACCAAGAATACAATTTCTCATTCGTGATTCTTTTACTCAAGTCGTAAAATAATTTCATCATTAGCCCCGTTCCCCTTTTTCATTTTATCATTTCTCTCTCTCTCTCTTTCTTGTTATTATTCAATAAACAAACAATTAAACTGAGTTACGTTAGAAAACTAACAAACTCGTTTCGATGATTTATCTATTAAGAAGACAATCTCATTGTAAGATTTATTTTACTTTATATAATAAACAATTCAATATAATAAACAACTTTTGCATCTAGCTTATTATTAATTTCAATTAAAATCTAATTTTATAATTTTATAATTTGAAATTGTACAAAAATTTTCCTACAATAAAGTGGATACTTTAGAATGTAAAATCATGGGAATCAATCTATTCATTTATCTAATTAGAAATAATAATAAAAAGTATAATAATATAATAAATAATAATAAAATATATAATATTCATTAAATATAATAAACAAAATTATTTTATATAATTATATTATATATTATATTGTATTTATTATATTGAATAAATATTATATATTTTATTATAATTTATTATTAAAATTATTATTATATAATTTTATTTATTTATATAAATTACAAGAATGTGATAAATAAATTTGTTATAAATTAAAAAATATAATAAATAAATAAACTTCAATTTATTATATTTAATAAAAATATAATCTTCTAATAAATCAAATTAACTTTTACGAAAAGTAATAACCATTTGATCAAATACAATATATATATATAATATAAATTCAAAAGATATTATCAAAGGATTTTACCCTTTATCTCAAATTTATCTACCCATAAAATGAAACGATTTTCTTCGAACTAATAATCGTTAACTTAGCCCATATTCGGGGGTTTTAAACCATTTAAAGATTCTAACCGAATCTTCTTCTTCTTCTTCTTCTTCTATCGTTATCTTAATATCGATCTATCGAAAAATTTTCTTCGATTGTTACAGGCGGAGATCGAAAATCGTGATATCCTCTGCTAAGCCCGAAGACAGTGGCAGATATGAGTGCATTGCCGAAAGTACTTCAGGTCATAGGGCCTCCCTTGCGGCCCAACTTCTAGTCGCACACGATCCCAGAATTCCGGAGACAAGTGAGTTACAATTATGTTTATTATATTATTAATTAATTATTTATTTTATTATTTATCATATATTATATATTTATTGATAGAAACGTTTTATAAATTATTGTTATTTAAAATACAAAATATACATTTATAATTTATTTAAAGAATGAAATAGAAAACGTCCCCGTTCGTTTCTTTTTCAAACCTTTTGAAATTACTAACACAGAATTGTACAGTTTTATATTTTTTTTTGTTTTTTTTTTTTTTTAATATTTGATAAATCCCAAATTTTTCTAAATCAAATAGAACGTTCTTTAATTTGTCGTGCAATCAAACGAATATAAATAAAACACACGTTTATTAAACGAATATACAAATATATATATATATATATATATATATATATATATATATATATACACATATACATTTATTTCTATTATCAATAACGATATTCAGAGTTATTCAAAATAAACTCACTGTGTTCTTTTTTTTTTTAATGTTTTACCGTATATAAAATTTAACTAGCATGTGCAAGAGAATTCGTAAAAAATTGATCAGAGATATAAGTGTGGTTGGAACAAAAAAACAAACGAATATTACATACAGGTAACTAGTGATAGGTATGACATGACGTAACGTAACAGTACGACCACCACCACTACCACCACCACCACTACCACTTCCACCACTACCCCAACTGACAACTGTAGGCAAACCATTCGTCATTATACAACTAGCAACTTTTCGTGGCTAACCGCTCTTTCTCTCTCTCTCTCTCTCTCTCTCTCTCTCTCTCTCTCTCTCTACTCGGCCGGCAAACGTGAGAGTACTTCGCTTTTGGTGGTAAAGTTTTCAAATATTTTGAGATTCGTGTTCCAGATCTGTGCAAAAGTGAGAGAGATAGAAAGAGTCACTGTTACAAAATGGAATGACGTGTCTGAGGAAACAAAAAAAAAAAAAATAAAAAATTCCTGACATAACGGTACCCCACAAGCTTTTTCCTTGATATTTTTCATTTCAAAAGTTTATTCAAAAACCTATACAGAGAAAGAGAGAACAATCTTTGATTATTTATTTCATTTGAATACAAAATTTATTATTTCGTTTATACGTGCAATACAATTTATTTCTTTTTTAATTGGTAAAATCACGTAATATCATTTAATAGAAAAAAAAAAATTATTATAAGACTTAATTTAACAATTCTATAAAATAAAATCAATCAAAATTGCTAAATCATACAAATCCTTATCAAGTTTAACCAATCTCATCCCAAATTCTTACAAAACACCGATCTAATTTTCCTTCTCCCCTAACCCCCCCCCCCCTCCAAAAAAAAACAAGTAATAAAACATAAAAATAACAATAAATCGAAACGAAAAAAAAAAAATCTAGGAAAAATAATAAATAGTTGGTTCTCACAAGTTGAGACAAAAGAAAAAAAAAGAAAAGAAAAAAGAAAGATCGTCGATCATTTTGTCGCGAAAGAAAAATGAACCTTGGATAGGTTGAAACTTATCTGACAAAATCCACGTTTTATCCCGTCCCATTTCCTACCATCCACCCTATCTATCCCCTTACCCCAGTTGTCCTTTCGGTATTTCCTGAATCTAAACGAAAACGAGTGTTAAGTCTTTGGCTAGCTGATAGATCCTACCCAAAAACGTACCATCGTGTCTTAACACGACTTGGGTACTGACTGACGTCGTCGTCACCACGAGAACAAGTGTTCTTCCTAGACAAGATAGAAAGAGAAAGAGAGAGAATGAGAAAGAGATATACGATGACTATCGTTTTACCGACATTGTGTCGTTTACGACGGTCATTTCGCGTAACGACGTGCTGGAAACATTCACAGTATACATACATAAACGTCCAAAACAGGACCACATTAATGCGAAAACACGTTGATCGATTATTCTTCCTTTTCTCTTTCTTTCTCTCTTTCTCTCTTTCTCTTTTAGCATATATGAGATGCGTAATGTGTAAGGCGTTAGTTGTACTGTTATTTAAATAGTGTTCATCGAATAATAATAAAAGTAACAAATCTTTTGATATTAGATATACACACATTCAAAGATTCTCTTATAATCTAATCGGAATTGATAAAAGGATTAAAAAAAAAACTACTCATTTAGGTTTAGAGAGATCAATCAAACAAACTCCTTTATTCATCTAGACGATTCAAATACCTCAGTCAGCTTTCAACACATTGCTACAGGTGGTCATACATATGTAGATATATGTACGTGCATTCGAATTAAGTCCAAATCATACTTGGATTAATTCCAGAATGCTCGTTCGTACAAGAGTGAACCCCCTATCCTGATTGGAGTTGGTCGTTAACATTCGAAAGCAGATTTCAAAGCTAAAGACTGATGTACTTAATCAGGGATCAAGTATGATTTCTCTATGTAACTGATCGTTTAACTGTTTCAAAATTTACACTATCTTACAGATACATTTACTCGTTAAACTATAAAAATATATATATATATGATTCATTCTAATAATAATAATAATAATAATAATAACAATAATAAAATGATCTAGATATAAATATTAGAAAATATCAAATATCTACTTTGCAATCCTTGTAAAAATAATCATTTATTTAATTTAATTAGTATATTAATATATTATAGTATCGATCTAATATAATAAATTATAAATTTAAATAATAGTAATATATTAGTATGAATCCAATTTAATAAAATAACCATATAAAAATTAAATATAAATGAAGAGGTGGGGTTGGTAGGGGGTGGTTCTGTGAGAGCAATTTTCATTTTGAGTAGCATAGGTAGGTAGGTAGGTAGGTAGGTATGTCGCAGGTGATAAACCGAGGATTACGCACCTGATGCGATAATACCTGCACGGTTCAGCGATTCGAGGGAAGACCGGCAAAGCTTGCGGTTCGCCGCTACGCTCACGCCGCAAGCTCGTATGACGGACAAAGGACGACAATTACAACCCTGGCAGCACAGTGTCAGAGTTTCATATAGCTCTGGGCAACTGATGGCGGGTCAGCATGCTGTTTCTCTCTATGTTTCTCTCTCTCTTTCAATCTCTCTATTTCTATCTCTCTCTTTGTACGTGTCTCACTTACTCACTCAGTTCTCTAGCCACTCCAGTTCTATCTCTATCTATATATATATATCTATATATAACATATATATATATATATGTATGTATGGTGACTCGACAAATCCTGATCCGTTTCCGTCGCGAGACAGGACTATAGTGAAAAGGCAAAGCCGTCGTTGCGCGTTCCATGGCATTAAGGTATCTGTCTCCCTTTCTCCCTATTCAACCCTATCATTTGCCATCCTACTCTTACTCGTTTACTCATTTACTCTCCTCTCAATACTCACACGACATTTCCCACTACACGTGCTTTCAATGTAATCGATCTGTTCCAATATCCAATTCTCGTTTTCTCTTTGTCTTTCTCTCTCTCTCTCTCTCTTTCTCTCTCTCTCTATCTATCTATCTATCTATCTATCTATCTATCCTTTTTCTCTATCTATCCCTCGATTATCATCGAGTTATTTGTATCTTATCCGAGGCTCATTTCGCCATCCTATGTTATACAAGCTATTCGAATATTAAGCGACATCAAACGAAATAAACCGATTTCAATTACGGTCAAATTTAATCTCGTTTTATCGTATTTTATATTATCCCATAAGTATCGTTCATCATTTAGCATTGGACATTCCTGTGGTTAAGTTAAATTATATTTGTTTATTCGAGTTTGTTTTACTGTGTGTATGTGTATGTGTGATAGTAGTTAATTTACAAAGTACACCTGGTGAGATTAATAAGTATGCGTTGGGAATTAATTTGATTAATTAATAGATGCCTTTTATTTGACCTATTTAAAGAACATTTATTATTATTATTATTGTTATTATTATTATATCTAATGTTATTTTATTATGATATATATATGTATTGTTAATTGATGAAACGTATTGAAATTATGTTTTAAACGTTATCATTAATTATTAATTGTTATACCTCACAGTATTGTTTTGTATATTGTTAAATATAATTACTAGTATTAAAAAGATTTAAGGTACTCGTATCGTAGGACAAGTAGTTTGTACTAAATATTAGTCCTCGACAAAGACATCGGTAGTACGATAACAAGTCGTTTACTCGATTCGTCAACTGCTCTAACTTACACAAAAGTAAGTTGGAAAGTGGAAGTACGGCACGTTTCACAAAAGTTAACTCTACTCTTGTAAATAATGAAATTTCAAATAACATAACATAACGTAACGTAACGTAACGTGCTTATACAACGAGACTTTTCTCTTTCATGTTTATGGCGTTTAACTAAAACGTAGTAGAACGTTAACGTTAAATGATCTTAAAATATACAAAAAAAAAAAAAAAACAGATTTTTATTATAAAATATATATATATATATAATATATATAACGTTAAGAAGTTAATAATAAAATTAGTTCATATGATTTTGACAGATCAAATTTAATTATTCATTTTTGTCTTGGTTATTATTTTAAAGTAACTTAAGAGAAGGGTTGAAAAGTTTTGAGCTTAACCAAAGATTGATTGAAAAGTTTTCTGTTTGAAACACGAGATGATGGGTTTGCTAAAGTTTTTAACCTACCCCAACTAACAGGAATGAAAAGTTTTCAGCATGGTACGACCAAGAGGGTTGAAAAGTTTTTTTTCTTTTTTTTTTTTTTTTTTTTTTTTTTTTTTTTTTTGAAACGATTGAAAGGTATATTGGGTCTTACTGTTTGTATGGTGTATGTCCTAATGGACCCACGTACTAAACTAAATCGGTGTTTTGTAGGTT